TGTAGAAATAATTTGTCTTTACTGGGTTAACCATGTTGTGCTCTAGTCAGTTTCCATTCCTGTCTGCCTTCCTTGTTCCTGGGATGCTACCCTAGAAGGCTGTGTGTGAGGGCTCAAAGCCAGGGCTTAGGAGCTCATTTTCAAGTATGCTGTAGACTTCATTGCTCATCTAAATATTCACCCTACTCTCTACACTGAAAAATTTAGAATTCCTTTTTCTTAGAGATCTAAATGCCTAGATTCTTAGAAGAAATGTATTCCTTCCAAAAAAACTGAGTCACTAGTTGAAATTGCAGTTTTCCAAGCTTCAGCCTCATCATCCCAAGTATTTTCAGTGTGGTGAGGACTCCCAACTCAGGAGAAGGTAATAAGCTAACTCTAGTTAGTAGTTTCAGAGTATATGTTTTTAGAACTTAACGTTGAAAACTTTTTTCTGAAAATACAGAAACTACTTTTTTATTGCCAAAATTGTACCTATACTGGCACATGCGGCTGGGGATAAAACTATGAATTCCGCACAGATTTTCTATAATTGGCCCAACTTTTTGGGATGGAAAGAGAGCAAAGTCTGTAGCTTGATAAAAATGGAGTCAAGTCCTGTCTCTACCATTTATTAGCTGCTTTCCCTAAGATATATTTTCATCCTTCATTCATTTATTACCTAAAGAATGAGTGGTAAGAATAAGAGTACAAAGATGAGCAAAGCACAGCCTCTACCTTCTGAATTCACAGTAGTCCGGGGACAGAGGGCATTGTGACATAAGCAGTGAGACCACTGCCAAGTACTGTGTGGGATGTGTTAGGAATTCAGAGAAAGACTTCTGCGTGATCTGAGGGATTACAGATGGCTGCCCAGGCAGGTGATCTCCAAGATGAGCCTTTGAAAGGATTAATGCCAGAACCCGGAAGGAAGCTCCCCCACCACCATCCCAAGCTCCTAGGGCAGAGAAGGTGAGCCAATCCCAGAACACGGAAAGAACACCAAGTGCTCCCAAGATGCAGGAGGCTGGAGAAGAGTGAGTACCACTGGCTTCCTGTTGCTCGGGAGGACCCTGCCTGCCCTTCACATACCAGCCAGGCCCATTTTCCTGTCAGAAGGCTGAGTGGGGCTTTTGAAATGATCTATGGTTTGTTTTCTCTCCTATAGAACCACACCCAAGCAAACTTTCTATCACAAACACTTTTCTAAAAGTATAAGCACAGCTGTTTTTACCTGTATGTGTGTCCAAGTGTGTCTCCCCACTTGTGCTTTGGCCTGTGCGTGTGGTCGCCAGGGTATAAACATGCATGTGTGTGCATGTGTGTCAGGAAGCACACATCTTTTGCATTACTGTTTTAAGAAACTTTGTCTCTTAGCCTTTAAACAGATGCCATGTTTTACTGGATTATGGAGTGTACTCGTAGGCTTCTTCCCCTGCATTTTTTCTTTATACCTTGCTTTTCAGCATTGTTTCCTGTTAAGCCTTATTTGCTTTCCTATGTTCCTCTCCTTAGATTCACCAAGAACTGTGGTAAAATAG